GACATATATATTAGTTGTAAGTTACCTCATTTAAATTTAATTTACCTCATAAATTAAAACAGCTTCTGAAATTTTAACATTATGTTGAAGTGAAACTCATGGCAGTATACATGATTTGTTTTACCAATTTATCTTAAATAGGATAAGGATGTCAAGACATGAAAACAACAATCCAATAAAGGAGATATCTTAATACAGAGATAATGATAAAGCATAATGCCAAACAAGCTAGAAATACAAACTATAGAATTAGCTACCCAGAAATACCTATGCTCCATCCCTCACCCACAAGTCACACTCCATCTCTCCTCTTCTCATCCTGCACTCCGTGTTCAGGGTGCTAACCTAGTTAAACTTCAGCCTTCCTTCTTCTCCAGGTTCGGACTGGTAATGAAGTGATGTCATTTGTCTGGGGTTCGTACCCAAGGTTCATCATCTAACACCAAGGAAACCGAGGATGTGGACATACAGGAAGTGAGTTTAAGAGCGGAGATTTAACAGGTGAGAGGAAAGAGAAATGCTCTCTCTCACAGAGAGAGAAGGACTGCTGAGTGAGTCTTCTTCCAGTTCCATGGTGAAATGCATGGTTTGTTTGTTTGTTTTTGAGATGGAGTCTCGTTCTGTCTCCAGGCTGCAGTGCCGTGGCGCAATCTTGGCTCACTTCAACCTCTGCCTCCCAGATTCAAGCAATCATCCTGCCTCAGCTTCCCAAGTAGCTGAGACTATAGGTGTGTGAAACCACGTCCAGCTAATTTTTTTAAAGTATTTTTGGTAGAGATGGGGTTTCACCATGTTGGCCAGGATGGTCTCGATCTCTTGACCTTGGCCAATCCACTAGCCTTGGCCTCCCAAAGTGCTGGGATTACAGGCGTGAGCCACCATGCCGGGCCCCCACCCCAATCTTTTATTACACAGATGGTGTCTCTATCTGGCCAGCACCAAGTTGCCTGCTTATTTACTGCACATGTGACAAGAAAGAAAAGGGCAGAGAGAACCTCCGTGTTGAATATACCTGGCTTCCAGGTATCCCTTTTCTATTGGCACAGCTGTCAGCATTTACCTACATAAGCTTTAGCTTGCTTATCTATGCTTGCAGCTTGATTTTTTAGTTTACCTTTTGTTAGAAAAGAAATGATTTGGGGGCTTCTTTTTAGTAAAAGAGAAACCTTACTGAAGACTCTCTTACTGTCACTATCTGCCTACATAATTTCTTTCTAGCTCCTGTATCAGTAATGTCCAATGAGAAATGCTGGGAGAAGATCAGAAGGCAGGAGGTGAGACAGGAGTATTTGTACCTCACCCTCACAATGTCACCGTCGCTCACTCCCAGCCTGGCGGGGTGGCAGCCCTCTACAGTACAACTGCTGGCTTCTCTTACACGGTCACCACTCTCCCTAGGTTCTGGTGGTAAGTTCCTCCCCTTGCTTCTTCCAGCCAGAGGGTGTTAATGGCTTCTGACTTTTACTAGTCAGGGTTCTCTAGAGGGACAGGTCTAATAGGACAGATGTACATATGAAGGGGAGTTTAGTAAGAAGTATTGACTCACATGATCACCAGGTAAAGTCCCACAATAGACCTGAGGAGCAAGGAAGCCAGTCCGAGTCTCAAAATCTCAAAAGTAGGAAGCCGACAGTGCAGCTTTTAGTCTGTGGCTGAAGGCCTGAGAGCCTCTGGCAAACCACTGGTGTAAGTCAAAGAGTCCAAAACCTGACGTACTGGAAGTCCAATGTTAGAGGGCACGAAGCATCCACCATGCGAGAAAGACGAAGGCAGGAAGATTCAGCAAATTAGCTTTTCCCACATTCTCCTGCTTGCTGTATGCTAGCTGAACTGGCAGCTGGTTAGATGCTGCCAACCCAGATTGAGGGTGGGTCTGCCTCTCCCAGTCCACTGACTCAAATGTTAATCTCCTTTGGCTACACCCTCACAGACACACCCAGGAACAATACTTTGCATCCTTTAATCCAATCACATTGACAAGCAATATTAACCATCATACTACTTCGTTAGAGGTTGGTGTAGCACCACAGTCCCCTGGTTAATTTCCATTCACTTACACTCTTTTGAGTGTGCTGACACTTCCTCCCAAAACTCTGACTGATACAGCCCATGTGCCAGCCCCCTCTCCCATCATATTCTGGTATGTACATTTTACTCCAGCCATAAGGAACTATCTAAAGATACCCCAAAGCCCCTAAGCTTTAAGTATACCAGTTATTTTCATTTCTCTTCACATCCCTCTCATATCTGCTGTTTAAAACTCCCTTCAAAGTTGATCTTCATGGGAGACACTTGCTTGACTCCTGAACATATCTTAAATGTCTAAAGTCTATGCATGTTTGCATACACCTTATCATTACATTTTTAAATACTTCGGTAATTTAGTTTTTGATTGATACATTGTAATTGTGTATATTTTGGGGATACTTTGATATTTTAATACATGTAAACAATACGTAATGATTAAATCAGGGTAACTGGGATATTTATTCCTTCAAATAGCTGTTTTCTTTCTGTTGGGAACATTACAATTCTTTTTTTCCAGCTGTTTTGAACTATGCAGTAAGTTATTGTTAACTATAATTACTGTACTTATTATTCAGTAATTTTTAAACTTACTTTTCTAGGCCCCTGTCTACACTGAATGGAAAGCATCTTTAGAGCAAATATTAAGTATTTAAAAATGTTTTAATTTGAAAATTTTTAGACATGGAGTCTTACTCTGCTACCCAGGCTGGAGTGCAGTGGCATGATCATAGTCCACTGCAGCCTCAAGCTCCTAGACTCAAGTGATTCTCCCACTTCCGCCCCCCAAAGTTTTAGAATTACAGGTGTGAGCCACTGCACCCTGCCCAGATGTTATACCTTCATCATTGTCTCTTCAGCATTGAGGAAGAGTCTGTTGGTACAGATCAATGACTAAAAAGAGACTGTAAGCATTGAAGGGAACCGAGAGATTACTCCAGTTGTTGAACACAGAAAATAATATCTTGGTGACTATAAATCAAAAGGAACAAGAAAAAGACTATAAAAGGTTAATATGAATAATTTCAAAGCTTTGGATACCAGTGAGACAAGTTAGAACGTGCAGAGAGGCAAATGGCTTAGGAGGAAAAAGAAGCCAAAGGCGTCTCTGGGATGCAGGTGGAGGGGTGGACAGCAGCTTTGGGGACGCCAGTGAGGCTGGATACAAATATGGGGATGTTTTTGCTTTGGGGAATTGAGGCCAATAGACTGGCTGAGATTTCAGAAGGAAATAGTCTTGTGTGAGCTGTGTGAGATCAAGGTATCTGGGCAAGGAGCCTATGCAGGAGAAGCACCGAAGAAAAGAGAGATGAGAGGAGAGAGCGCCCTGTTTCTTGGTGCCACTGAGATTTTGATGGAGGGGTTTCCAGGAAGGCAGAGTTAGGGACAAAAGTAACAGGTGAGGGGAAAGAAAAGGTCGGCAGGATTGAGAATTAATAACCCATTGCATATTTTGGAGGCAGAAGTCAGACTGTGAGGGTTGAGGAAGGAATAGGAAGGAGATGGCAGAGAAAGGACATGCAGTTTTTAGAAATTTTGAGGGGATGATGATGTGAAAAGGAAGGAGCCTTTTGAAATGGGTAGGGAAGCCTACCTACAATTTCTTTTAAATTGTTTCCAAAAACATATAGAGTGACATTTTCTTTTTTCTTTTCTTTTTTCCTTTCCCTTTCTTTCCTTTCCTCTTTCCTTTCTTCCTCTCCCCTCCTCTCCTCCTCTCCTTTCCTTCTCTTTCTGTTTTTTTCTTGAGACAGGGTCTTACTCTGTCTTCCAGACTGGAGTGTAGTGGTGCAACCACAGCTCACTGCAGCCTGAGCCTCCTGGGATCAATTGATCCTCCCACCTCAGCCTCCTGATTCTCTGGGTCCATGCCACCACACCAAGCTGATTTTTTATTTTTTTGTAGAGACAAGATCTCACTACATTGGCCAGGCTGGTCTTGAACTCCCGGCCTCAAGCAGTTCTCCCACCTCCCCTAAGTGCTAGGATTATAGTCATGAGTCATTGCGCCTGGCTGGAAATGCCATTTTCAATCTCATCTATGCTTCTGCATTTGCAATTTACCTCTGCTGTCCTTTGGTTGAGAGGTAATCATTGGCAGCATCATGCAGTCCAGCGTTCCAGGACACAGATTTGTGTATACCTTATTTTCATAACCATGTACAGCACATTTACACTTTGCTTTATAGCATTGCCTCAGCCATTCTGCCAATGATGCTCCCAAGACTTCAGTATGTTCTCTTTCGATCTCTTTAATGGAGTGAACTGTTTACTTCATTCAGACATTCTTATGCCCCTTTCTTGTGCTCCTTATGCCCCATTTCCAGTCTGCACTTCCCCTTTTTTAAGTGAAACTCCTAAAGCAAGTCTTGGCATTTGATAGCCCATTCAAGTTTAAGGTTCTGGAATTTGGTTTTTCCTATCAGAAAATAGAAAACATCCACTGAGAACTCATGATTAAAAGGAAAAGAAACGATCCTAGTTCCCTGATTTAATAAAGAGAAAAAGTGCTCATTTCTTCCTAAGAAAGCTTTCAATCAAATTAAGAACACTAAGAGGGGGCCACCGTGGCTCCAGCCAGTTGTCCTGGTGCTTGAGGAGGCGAGGCCATGAGTTCAAGGCCAACCTGAGCAACGTTACATGCTCTCATTGATTGACAAAAGAACACTAAGATTTTTATTACACAGAAGCTCCCAAGATGACTTTATAGGACTGGATAATCATCTAATTCATTGCAGGAAAAGCTTGAAAAGGTGAATGCAAATGCCACTGTGGTGCTTCCTCAGAAAACAGCAAGTGAAGAGCAAGTTGATGAGACATATGACAAAATAAACCCTGTGAGCAGACACGTGTGACAGACCCAGCTGCAAAAGTGGAAAGTGTGAACTGTGTTATTTCAGTTAGGGTAAGGAAATAAAATGTGATTCTAAAATGGAAAAAAAAAAAGAGTAAGCTTGGAGATAATAGCAGCTGCTGAAATTGAAGAGTTGGCACCTTACTTGCAAAAGGTATATAGGAAGAATAGACCCAGAGGGAAAATGTAAGAAAATATCTAGCGGTGGGTGGATTTTTCCTTTTTTTTCCCCCTGTCATTGCATTTGAAGATCAATTCTGCCTTGGAGGGCTCAAAATTCTTTGTATTCTTGCCGTGGTGATAATAATCTATGTTGCAGCTCAGCTTGTGCAGTCTAAGGACACAAGCATCGGAATTCTATTATGATGGTGCCTGATTTGGTGATAGAGAAAAAATGAAGAGGACAACTTGTACTGTTAATAGAGTAAGTAGATTCCTAAATGTTAGTAGACATGCAATTACATTTTTGAGCCCATCAATGCAAGTTTTGAAGTTCAGTATTCTGACATTTGGATGTAGGTAAATAAATGATGGTCACTGCTATCTATCCTTCAAAAACTTAGAAATGGTGGGAAAGCTTGAAATCGTGGCTTCTCTGTAGAATTTGAAAAACAGAAGCTGGATCCTTGTTCCCAAGCAATGTTGGAACTAAAGGAGAGTAAGAGAGTAAACTGGAGTGGGGTGAAACAGTATTTTTTAACATGCTTTTATTTAACTTCTTCTTTACCTCTTAAAAAGTGTTTCTACCTGTCATTCTGTACTCTAATTTTCTGATTCTGAATATTTCAATTTTGCATGCATTCTCTTCTAAACAGTAACAGGAAATATTTTCCAGGGGATCTTATATTGTATTTAAGGTTCTTTTTGTTTTATTTATGTACCTATGTATTTATTTACTTTTTTGAGACAAGGTCTCACTCTGCCACTCAGGCTGGAGTGTAATTGTGTGACCTTGGCTCACTGTAGCCCCAGCTTCCCGAGCTCAAGTGATTCTCCCACTTCTCAGCCTCCTGAGTAGCTGTGGCTACAGGTGTGTGCCACCATTCCTGGCTATGATTATTATTCTTATCTGTAGAGATGGGGTTTCACCATGTTGCCCAGGCTGTCCTTGTATTCCTGAACTCAAGCAATCCGCCAGCCTGGGCCTCCCAAAGTGCTGGGGGATTCCAGGTATGAGATATCATGCCTGGCCTTTATATTATATTTCTTCTCAGAGCCTGGGACACTCAGATGTCTTCTCCCTTTGAACAGTAAAAGTCATGCTCTTTGCACCTAGGAATTGTATAACTATTTAACTTTAAGAAAAAAATCATTGAAATGATGACATAAACTCCTCCATTAAATATATTCACAAGGACTTTCCACTTGATGGAAATCAATATTGTACCAGATCTGTCCTTCATAAAATTCAGGAGTAATGTCACTGTCTTAATAATACCTTACCCAAAGCACTTCGGCAGACACTTCTAAAGCAACCGTTACACCTAAGGCAGCATTGTAGATGAAGAGGAGATTTCCTGGTGGCTCTGGCAGGAATGTGTAGAGGTGATCTGCAGAGTCAACGTGTTCAGCTTCCCATGTGAATTACATATCCCTGAGAGGTTATGAAGACGGAACCCATTTTCCCATGTACCTATCAAGATGACATGTTATATTCCCTCTGTTTATATGAAGAAAAGCAAATTTACCCAGGTATTCTTGATACCGTCCATGGCAGAGGTTACTGTTTTGTTGCTAGTATCCACTTCTGGTTCAACTTTTTCTTTGGAGACCCATTCTATCACCAATCTCAGTCCGTTTGAGAATTATTGATATTACCCTTGGCTGCAGGGACAGCACGTGACTCAAGTCAGGCTTATTGTTCTCCCAGTCACAACGATTGGCTCAGGAATGGGCAAGAGCCCTAACCAAAATCAGGGAGATAATATCTCTGGAAAATTGCAGAACAGGTTGAAAGGAAGATGTGTTATCTTTGTCTATTCAACTTAAGGTTGTGGGGATGCAAGCCTAGAGCTGCTGGCAGCTACTCTGTCATTGTCATATGTTGATGCCATGCTGTCAGTCATGAGGGTGACTGAGCATGGCATTAACATATGGAAATCCAATAGCATGATAACTTCTCACGAAGAAAGAAAACGTTTACAGAATAAAGTAGTCATGTTAATATGCTAACACGGCTGCCAGTCTGGTTCTCAGCTTCTCATGGTCTCTGTTCCTGCTGACATTTTTGGGAGCTTCCTCTCCTTTCCTATGCCTTATGCCTTCTGCTTACTCATGGCTTTTAATTGCTGTTTTTTCTCTATTTGTGTCTTAGTTTCTGTGCTCCTCTGCTGTCTGGCTCCTGTTATATATTTTTCATATTTAATATGACCAGGTAAGCAGGTCTGATTGGGTTATTGACTAGTATACAGTGCTCCAGTTAAGAACATATATACTTTTTAATATGATACGGTTTAAAAATAATATTTTATGTTATATATAGGACACACACTTTTAAAATTGTTTACTGAGCATCTACTGTGTGTTGGGTGCATTGTTTTGTACATGTTAATCCATATTAACACATTTAATTCTCAGCAAAAATAGTTACCACCAGGTAAGAACTATTATGGTCTTCATTTTATAGATAAGCCAATTGGTAAATTTAAATAATTTACCTGAGGTCACACAACTAAAAGAAAAAGAGTAGTATTCAAACCTGGATCTAAAGTCTACATTATTAATACATTAAGGTATCAATTATTAATTAATAATTATTAATGCATTAACTTCCTCTCTAACTGCTCTGGATAACCTAGCCACATCCTGTCATAGGCCATTGACTCCATTCATGCTTCATCTATATGCAAGGCTCCCTTTGTGTCAGGGGTCAACCCCCAGGCAGATCACCACTGCCCAATATGGCATGGTGACTCATATAAGAAAGGCCTTCTGTCCCATTCAAAGGGGCCTGTAGGTTAGGGCTCTTCCCCACCATTTGCTAGAAAAACATGCAACTTTCTGTCATTGTTTCTTCTTTCAACAGCAATACATGGTTAAACAACCCATGTCTCATACTGAATTGGGGGAATGTTGCACAAGGCTCCTATACCCATTTCCCTGCTCCCCTGCAGCCAGCCCAGTCATTCATATCCCTATTTTCATTTTGCCCACATGCCTCATCTGCAGAGCACTTATCACAATGCTTACTTCCAAATATCTACCTATGCGTTTATTTTTCCAATGTTTATCTCCTCTGTTTCTGCAAGGGCAGGAAATATAACTTGTTTACCAGCGCTGGAACATCAGCAGGTTCTGGCTGTGGTGGGTGATCCATAAACATCTGTTACATAAATAAATGAGCAAAGAAATAAATGATGAATGTCATATCTGGATTCCTCTTTCAGGGAAAAGAAAGTCTAACCTAGAGATAAAAGTGGCAATGCTCCAAAACTAAAGCACGTATATTAGTCAAGATTCTGCAGAGAAATAAAACCAATAGGACATATATACCTTTGAAGAGACTTCTTATGAGGGGCTGGCTCACATTATTACAGAGGCTGAGAACTCCCATGATCTGCTGTCTGCAAACTGTAGGCCCAGAAAAAAATGATGGTGTTGTTCCAGTGTTAGTCTGAACACCTGAGAACAAGCGGAGCCAATGGTAGAAGTCCCAGCCCAAGTACAAAAGCCTGAGAACCAGGGGTGCCCGCATCTGAAGGAAGATGAAGACTGATATCCCAGATAAAGCTGCAAGCACCTTCTCCCTTCCTCCATCTTTTTGTTCTATTCAGGCCTTCAATGGATTGGATCATGCTCACTGGTGAGGGCAATTTTCTTTACTCAGTCTTCTGATTCTAATGATTGTCTCTTCTGAAAAAACTCTCCCATACGCACCCAGAAATAATGTTTTACCAGCTATCTGGGCTCCCTTTAGCACAGTCAGGTTGATACATAAAATGAACCATCATAAGTCATTTGGGAAGACAAACAGGATACTGATACTGTGTATCTAATGTGTAGCACTTGTATGTCCAATAGGAGGCACATTCAGTGACATTTCTTACTAAAGTTCAAATCAAGATGATTTGAAGTCCTGATATCTAGTCTGCTACTACCCATGCTCCTGACCATTGGCGGACAATGGTGCTTTTTCCAGGCTGGTGTCGATCTTGCTAAATTTAACAGTATAAATATGTTGTATATGTATAATTTGTATGTGTGGTATCTACATGCAGGCACATGTATGATGGTGGTTGAAGGGAATGCTATTTTTAAAAAATAGAAATAATACTGATATTTATATCCAGATAACATGGACAATATGGGTCTGTTTGGTATCAATAGATGAGATATTTAAAAACTTGATTGTGTATTTAGATCTGTACACATTATAGATTGTCTTTTGGAAAGTACATTTTTCTCTGTGCATCTGAGAACAACCTGTTCTTTTTTTTGACCCATCTGCTATATTTACCACATTGAAGAGAAAATGTTCTTGATTGAGTTGAATTTTACTAGTTTAAAGTCATTGTACTGAGTGCTTTTGAACAATAACAGATTTAAAAATGGCTACTTTGTTTCTTACAAAACGGCCTATTTAGATTGATTCTTGAATGTGGCAGTGTGCGGACGGTGGAAAAGTGAGGGAAGATCATCATTCCAGGGACTGCATCTTATTCTGTCTCTCCACATGCTGGTACATGTGTTGTCAGCATGGCCGGCCAAACGGAAACAAAACAGTGACACACTACCAGTGTTCCAGAACTCTGCAACATATTCCAGCATTAGGAGACAAACAGCAAACCCACCAGTGGTATTTGTTTAATGTCAGCAATAGGAAAGAGCAGCAAAGACAGATTTCAGTAGAATTTGCAAAGTTCTGGATATAGCCATAAGATGCAGTAGAAAGAACTCTTCACTAGCAGGGAGAACATTTAAGTTTGGGCCCTGTCTCCTCTATTTATTACTCATGTAAAAATGTCAAATCTTAAAGGGGAAAATATAATGAGTAGGATTATATATTCATGCTAATTACCTAATGTTTCATAATTTTGTCTATTATTGGGGATGACAATAGCTATCGTTATCCATGTGATACAAGGGTCCACTGAAGAATGATGACATTCCTAAGTTTGAAAAGGAGACCTTTAGTTCTCACAGAGGGTTGCAGCCTCCAGGCTAGCCATCCTGAAAACTGAGAAGCGACCTCCAGCAAAATTTGAGAGCAAGCACTTTGAGGGAGGACAGAATACGACAGAAACTTATGTTGAATCTGTTAGTTAGGTATACATATTCAATAAGCTGTAGGCTGAGTCATGAATATTTATGAAAGAAGAAGCATGCACATGTACAATTGAGTTTCTAGCCTCTTTCTGAGTCCCATGTACAAAATAACTCACAGTGTTGGCATGATCCAACGGTGGAGTTTTCAGCCCTCTGACCTCAAAAGGTGAAGCAGAGGATACAAAAGCTCTTGCTGTGCATCCTCTGTGGACTGGACAGAACCACTTTTTGGTGAGTGAGGAAGGGATGCATTGTGAAACTGGCAAGCTGTCATGTCAAAACTGTGAAGAGGGCGGGGGAGTCTGGTCACAGCATCAGATGATTGGCTAAAGACAATAAAAGAATAAATTATCTGTTTCCTGTTTGCCAGAGTTGGTTTCTGCTTACTCCTTAGAAAAGAACTCTGGTTAAAGATTAATAAGAAACGAGCATCTTAGTGTATGTCTCACCTCCCATCCCATCATGGCCAGGAACTCTGTTTTTAAGGTTCCTTTGGGATCCCCTTGGCCTAGAGGGAGTCCATTCAATAAGTTTAGAGACTTGGGGTTTTACTTTGAGTTCTCACAAGTTAAAATCCTAGGACAAAACTTTGGGCTTGGGATCTGTGAGTGCCCCAGGTGGAAGAAGGTTGGGGTGGGAGAAGTAATTTGCATGTTGAAGATGATAAACAGTCTCCTTGGTGTGGGACTTGGAGTCTGCAAACCTGTGTTTGCATTTCTGGTTCCACCAGTGTCTTAGTTCATTTTGAGCTGCTGTAACAAAATACTAGAGACTGGGTATATAACGAGCAGAAATGTGCTGTCTCACAGTTCTGGAGGTTGAAAAGTTCAAGAATGGGGTCCAGCATGTGGTGAGGGACTTTTTTGCTGAGTCACCCCATAGCAGAAAGAAGGGCCCAACTCGTCTTCCCAGCAATCACCTTTCCAAGTCCTGCCTCTCAATGCTGTTACGAACAGCAACTAAATTTAAACATAAATTTTGAAGGAGATAAAAATACAGAAATCATGGCATTCCAAAGGGCCCCTAGCTCTCCAAAACTCATGTTCTTCTCACATACAAAATAAATGAATTTCATCCCAATGGCCCCAAAAGCCTAAACTAGTTCCAGCATCAGCTGAAAAGTTGAAAGTCTCATCTAAACATCATGGCACAATTCATACTGAAGCAAAGTGCTCTCCAGCCGTAAGCCTGTGAAATCAAACAAGTAATGTACTTCCAAAATACAACTGTGGGACAGGCGTAGGACAGACATTCCTGTTACCAAAAAAGGACTAAAGAAAATAAAAAACAAGGTGACTCGGTCCAAGTCAGTGAAAAACCTGACAGGGCAAACAACATTAAATCTTAGGGCTCCAGAAAAAAATCTTCCTGGACTCAGTGTCTTAACTTCAGGCACACTGGAGTAGAGCTGGGACCCCTGAGGCCTCAGGCAGCCCCACCCCTATGGCTTTGTGGGGCTCAGCCCACACATCTGACTTCACAGATTAGAGTCACATGCCTGAAGCTTTTCCAGGCTGGCATAGCACACTGGCAGCGCTACAGTTCTGAGATCTTAGGGGTGGCTCCACTAGCATTGGTCCACTAGACACAGCCCTAGTGGGAACTCTCTGTGGCAGTCTGAGCCCGTGGCAGGTTTCTGCTTGGGCTCCCAGGCAGATACATTCTTTGAAATCGAGCTGAAACCATCACCGCCCCACAGCTTGTGCACTCTGCACCTCTGCAGAGTTAGCACCACATGGATGCCACCAAGATTCACTCCTTGTGCCCTCTGAAGAGGTGACCTAAGCAGCACCCGGGCCCACTTGAGCAATGACTGGTGCAGCCAAGGAACACTACACCAGAATGCAAGAAACAGGCACTTGACGGGGTACGAGGCTCCTCTCTGGAAACCTTGCCCTCAAGGATCTTCTCTGGGTCCGTAATGAGAGAGGGAGCCTCAGAGATCTCTGAAATGCTTTGGGGACATTCTTACATTGTCTTAATGCATGTCGGCTGGCTTCCTTCCACCCATGCTGATCTTATCAAAGGTCCACTGGCTGTACCCTGGATGCTCTCTCCTGACAGACTTTTTCATTCTTTACATAGCCAGGCTGAGAATTTTAAAAATGCTTTTTCATTTCTTACATGGCCAAATCTTTATGTTATGCGTCACATTTAATTATAAATTTCGTCTTTAAATCATTTCTCTCTTCTCCTATGTTATGATATGTGGTTTAAAGAAACCACACAGCATCCTGGATGCCTTGCTTTCTTGGTATTTCTCCCACTAGATATCTTAGCTCTTTGTTCTTAAATTCTGCCTTATATAAAGTCCTAAGACACAATTCAACCAATTTCTTTGCCACTTTATAATAAGGATGACCTTTATTCTGGTTCCCAGTACCTGTCTCTTCTTTCTGAGATCTCATTAGAATTGCCTTTTCTATCCATTTTCCCACCAAAACTTTAATTATGCCCACTTAAGTAATGTCTAGAACATTTCAGACTTTCCCTACAGATATTCTCTTTTTCTGAGCCTGCACCAGAATCATCTTAATGTTCCATTTATGGCATTTGATGTTTTTCCAGCTTTCAGTTCAAAACTGTTTCAACCTCCACCCAGTTCCAAAGCTGCCTCCACAGTTTTAGGTATTTTTATAGTGATGCCCCTTTGTCTGATCCCTACTTTTGTCTTAGTTTGTTTTTGCTGTTACAATAAACTATCACAGACCAGGTAATTCATAATGCACAGAAATTTATTGACTTATAGCTCTGGAGACTGTGAAGTTCAAGGTCAAAAACAAGCATATGTCAAGGACCTTCTTGCTGTGCCATCTCATGACATGAGGTAGAAGCACAAGAGAAAAAGGGACTGAACTTGCCCCTTTTCAATAGTAGGAATCCCACTCATGAGGGCAGAGCCCTCCTGGTCCGGTCACCTCTTAGAGGTTCTACCTCTCAACACTATTACAATGGTAACTAAGTTTCAGCATGAATTTTGGAGGGGACATTCCAACTACAGCAACTAGTTTCTAGCTAGGTGATCCTGGTTAAGAAACAGACTCTTTCAAACTCAGGCTCTAAAAATTAGGGCTAAACCAGAGTATTTACTTTTTGAAACTGTTTCGAGGATTCAGAAATGGCTTCTCAATAGGCTGGTTGAGTGTCCGGTATACAGTCAGACTCCGCACATGCTAAAGGTCATATTACAATTCCCCTCAGTGAGATGCAGATAAAAATCAACAGCATTACAGAGACTTCATTAACTGGCAATTTTTTCCTTGATGTATTTTGAAATTTTCTCTTTTAATTTCTGAGCCTTTTAGAATTATGATTGAAATGTGTACTGAAGACACCTTTTAAACTTTTTTAAAAAAATCCTTTATTAAGAGTGAATTCAAGCTGGGCATTGTTGCTCATGCCTATAATCCCAGCCACTCAGGAGGATATGATGGGAGAACTGCTTGAGGTCAAGTGTGTGAAATCAATCTGGCCAACATAGTGAGACCCTGTCTCTAAAATAAAATAAAATAATTTTAAAAAGTGATTTCAATAAACTTTCTTCAGTGAATTTTCTAAAAAGAATGTTTTAAAGCATAGATATCCCAGTGAAAGTTATTGTCAGGGGCGAGGTAGGAAGAAAGAAGAGCAGTAGATTTGGACAGCTCTACATCAAACCTTTGAAGAACTTCTCAGAGACTTTATTTAACAGGCACATATTTCATGCTCATTATGCTCCAGGCACTGTATGTTAATTAGTATTAGCATACTAATTCTATGAAATAGATGATATTATTATCCCCATCTTACTGGTACGAAAAAAGGAGACGTAAAATTTATAGCTCATAGTCTCACAGCTAAGAAAAAGAGCCCTCATAGTCTGGACCCTGGTCTCTACTTTTAACCCCTTTCATTTGCTAATAGCTTAAAGCCTGGCCCTTGACTCAGCAATTCCGTCTATTTACCTGACCACAGAACCCATTTTTTTTGCAGAACATCCATGGGACTTGTTCTAGCCTAAACTGCTTCCTTACATATTCTAAGTTTAGCCTAAAGTTCCCCACACATAGTGAACTGTAACCTAACCAGAGGTAAACAGGCTGTAACCCACCCTTGTAACAAGTAGCTGACTCTCAGCCAATCACAGGAGACCAGCTATTCAAACTGTGTTCAAATAAGGCAAACCCTGGGCTGCAATCGATCCAACTATTTCTGTATCTTACTTCCATACTTCATTTTCATTTTCCATACGTCACTTTCCTTTTTCCGTCCATAAATGTGATCTGACCTTGTGGGAACCCCAGCATCACCCTGCACCTATTCTAGTTGAGGGGGCTGCTCACTTCATGAATTATTCTTTGCTCAGTTAAATTCTGTTAAACTTAATTTATTTGTCTTAAATTTTTATATTAACAGATGCCTTCAGAAGTGGAATATGAAGGAGACTTTCCAGTGACACCTGAAGCATCTAGTGACCAAGTGAGATAACTGCCAGGTTTATTGTGTCCGTTGCTTTCTCACAGCAACTAAGTTCTTTTTTGGATTCCAAAGCTTCGTAAGTTTTTGTTTTGAGCTATCTGAGTTTGTTTGGGCAATCACTTGGTTTGAATTGGGTTCAGAAACTGGCCTGGGCCCAGAAGCAGATGAGATCTGATAATTAGCTGTACTGTATTCAGTTGCACACTGAGATTTTGCCTGACTGGAAACTGACAGTAAATGGTAATACTGCAAGGGATACAGAGTCTAAAATTTCAAAAATTTGCAGAAAGTTTTGTGTTATATTCTCTGTTTCTTTCTCTTGTGTGCTTAGGAAGGGAAAAATTATTGGCTAAGTTGATCAAGAATATCTGAGAGTGAAAGCCAAGATTCCATGTAAGAATGGGATTCTTAATTTCAGAGTACCTGAGCACTGTAACTTTTAGCTACATCTACCTGTACTGGACTCCAGAAACACCAGATGCTTACAGAACTGGTAAAGTCCTACTAAGGACAATTTAAAAGGACAGTGAAACATTCCAAATGAAATCAGTACACTTTAAAAAGTACTTTTAAGAATAAGGGCTCCCAGATTAGTTTAACCCAGATATATCTATTAATATGAAGAAGTTTCTAAAAAAATTACAATATTTTTGTTGTCACTCTTAAAAGGCATTTTATAAGAGGAAAATAAAAAGCTGAAACCACTAGTTGATAAGAAAAATTAATTCTGTTAATCTTTTGCGTTAGTTGCTATACCACTCTAGAGGCTAGAAGAATGCAAAATAAATGTTTATAAAATATAGGCCCTCAGGCAAAGTAGGTCTGCTAAGTTTTTCAGAGCTATCCATGCTGAGTCCATGCACAGAGGATGCTTTCTTTGCCCTGTTGCTTAATGGGCTTTGCCCAAAACTCAGTAAGTTTTGCTAAGAAACAGGAATTAAGAAGACTGCCTTTTGAACCAAATCAGTCTCCACAATATACCTTTCTGGCATTTAGTTGACTGTTTTGAAATGCTTTCATAAAATAAACTTATGTAAAAAGAAAATCTCCATTTGTAAGGGTGTTTCCCTTTGTGCATTCTGAAGAGAGGGAGAACTGAGTCACTAGAAACTCTTACTATTGATTTAAATTTACATAACGAGTCTCACCTTTGTTTAACACGTGCTTTCTGACTATCTCTTCTGAACTGGACTTTCACCTATACCCTCTTTTCTTAATTTGAACAAACAGTGGTACACTCTTTAGGCCTGAAGTTTCAGCTCTGTGTCTTTGAGATATAAATTTTCTACCTTGCTTTGCCTAAGGTTTACCCATTTAGAAGTATAAATTTAGGGTTGCCCAGCTAACAATTGCTCAGGGCAATGAAACAGGAAATTCAAGAGTAATAGTGTAAATAAGGAAAAGAAAAACTATTTGGAAGCTGACAAGTGAAAAATCATTATGAAAACTAATATTTTCTTCTGTCTGTATGTCTGTATGCTTATATATGTAATGTGTATGTGATATTTCTATGTGATCCAAGATGATATTTAGTAAATAAAACTAGCTTTAAAATTGTTGGTAAAATAAAATAGCAGTATCTTCAAAATTGTTAGTATAAAATATAATGCAGACATTTTTGCTCGGATTTACTGATCCAGCAGGTTTATATTGTCTCTAAAAGATATTTTAAGAGTATAACACTGCCCTTTCTATTTTATGCTTGTCTTGTTTATGAGCTTATGTCTTTGGTTTTGAGACTTCAGATTCTGAAGTCTTGGCAGATGGCTGCAAGAGAGGCCTAGGGACATGTGTGGCCAAATCACCTGTGACACCAGCTGCAAGTCAGAGACAAGCCCAATAGGGCCCTATCCTTCCTGGCCCAGTTTTGCCTCTTGACCATTCTGGGAGGGATTACATCCTCTAGGCACTGTCTACAGAGTTCTATGCTCTATTCTGACCTATATGTAAATTCAGGACCCAGATGAGCTCTGTTTTTCATAGTCATCTGGGTACCAGATGGGTATTTGGTACCCACAACTGAGGAAAACATTAGGGAGGGTATCTGTATCATAGATCAAATTTTTAAAAAATAACTCAAAATCTTAAGGTCATGCTATTTTTTTTTTTGATTGGAGGTTTCAGTGGGACGGGAGAATCACAAGGAATCAGGTGTTCAGAGGAATGTATTGAGTAGAGGTGAGGAACTAGGATGTTGAAAAGTAAAAAAAGGAGAGAAGGAGAGGAAGAAAGAGGAAGAAAAAGAGGGAGAGAGAACAGGAATATTGCTTCATTCTAAAAATGGGTATTAATAATGGCTGAACAATATTTTGTATATTTAAAATGGAGAACTCTATAAATATTTATTGAGTTTACTTGTTCCAGATCTGAGTTGAAGTCTTGGATATCCTTATTAATTTTCTGTCTTGTTGAGTCTAAATCTCGTTATGGGTCTTTTTTTTTTTTAATGGGTTTTTTTTTTTTTTTTTAGATGGAGTCTTGTTCTGTCGCTCAGGCCAGAGTGCAGTGGCACCATCTCGGCTTGCTGCCTCCTGGGTTCACGGGATTCTTCTGCCTTAGCCTCCCCAGTAGCTGGGACTTTAGGCATGCACCAACACACGTGGCTAATTTTTGTATTTTTAGTAGAGATGGGATTTCACCATATTGGCCAGGGTGGTCTCAAACTTCTGACCTCATGATCCACCTTCCTCAGCCTCCCAAAGTGCTGGGATTACAGGAGTGACCCACAGCACCCAGCCTAAGGTCGTACTATTTTAAATTAAGTAGTATATAATAATAAAATACCCTAAGTGAGTTACAATATCAAAACATTGATAAACATAAAGTTTATCGACTTCAGCATATTATTTTTATGTTACAGAAAAACTTTGCTAAATATGTTAATTATGTATTATTTATAATAAACATATTTATATATTAAATATTTATTAATAAATAAGTATTTGCTAAATCTGTTAATTTGGTTGAGGAAATATTTCTTTGTAAAAAATTATGAAATGATTTTCATCTAAAAATATAAAAGATGTGTTTTTCTATAGGAAAAGTTATTTTGTTTAGTTGAGAGATTGTTTAAAGATGTTTCAAAAATGAAGGGAAGATGATATAAATAAAACTAAATAGATACAAAAAGTTGGGAAAAGAACAAATAGAAAAAAATATTTTAAGAAGTTATAAAAGGTTTATGGAAATTTTAACTTGTGTGGTCAAAAGCTGGCTGAGATTGAATGGATTTATTCATAAGGTTTATTAGATTTGGTATTTATAATACACAGATACAAAAGTAAAATTTGTTTTTCTCTTGAAGACTATGCTTCTTCACCCTTTGAGTAAACTGCAGAGAAAGTGAGAGGAGAGAAAGAGATAAATTGTGTTTCATGCCATCTCGATTATTGGAAAAATTGAATCTCCTCTAAAAGAGTAAAAAAAAAGTTTCTTTTTTTTGGTTTTTAAACTCTTAATTATCACTTTAGCTAAATAAATATTTATTATTTTTACAGTAATCTGTGTACCTATTTTGATTGCTTTAAACTTTTGACATATTTGACAAGCTTCTGAAAATCAAACTTCAGATTGTAAAATTATGTCTTTTTAACTGGAAACTAACTTTGAGATATTATAAAAGGCCCCTGAAGTGTCCAAAAGGGAGACACTAAATAGGCTTATTTGATATGTTAAAGTATATGGGAAACATTGTTAAATAAGAAATTATTTTTTACATTCTTTGAGTTATTAATATGTATTCCAAAATTATATGAGATTTCTAAAATTCTGATATATCTTGGTATATGTGATCAGTGATAATTATGGTTCTTACATTAAATTATTATAAGGCAGAAAAATAACCAAATATTCTAGTCAATTGGGTTTTTAAACATGACTATTTTAAGTCTCATTCACAGTTAATTCCTTAAATCTGATGTATTTTCTTACTTCTGATGTTATTTACTAACTTTTTATAAGCATGTAAAATCCTAGAGTGTTATGTCTTCAAGAATTTTATTTATTTATTTTTCTTTTTTATTGCATTTTATGTTTTGGGGTACATGTGCAGAACATGCAAGACAGTTGCATAGGTACACACATGGCAGTGTGTTTTGCTCCCCTCCTCCCCTTCACCCACATTTGGCATTTCTCTCGAGGCTATCCCTCCCCAGCTTCCTCCCCCGCACTGTCCCTCCCCTATTCCCCCCAATAGACCCCAGTGTTTAGCACTCCCTTCCCTGTGTCCATGTGTTCTCATTTTTCATCACCCGCCTATGAGTGAGAATATGCAGTATTTCATTTTCTGTTCTTGTGTCAGTTTGCTGAGAATGATGTTCTCCAGATTCATCCATGTCCCTACAAACAACACGAACTCATCATTTTTGATTGCTGCATAATATTCCATGGTGTATATGTGCCACATTTTCCCAATCCAGTCTATCATCAATGGGCATTTGGGTTGGAAATCCAGCACTAGACAAGGATGCCCTCTTTCACCACTCCTATTCAATATAGTACTGAAAGCTCTAGCCAGAGCAATCAGGCAAGAAAAAGAAATAAAGGGTATTCAAATAGGAAAGGTGGAAGCCAAATTGTCTCTATTTGCAGACGACATGATAGTATACCTAGAAGATCCCATCGTCTCAGCCCAAAAACTCCTGAAACTGGTAAGCAACTTCAGCAAAGTCTCAGGATATAAAATCAATGTGCAAAAATCACAAGCATTCCTATACACCAATAACAGACTTAAAGAAAGCCAAATCAAGAATGAACTGCCATTCACAATCAGTACAAAAAGAATAAAATACCTAGGAATACAACTCACAAGGAACGTAAGGGACCTCTTCAAGGAGAACTACAAACCACTGCTCAATGAAATAAGAGAGGACACAAACAGATGGAGAAACATTCCACGTTCATGGTTAGGAAGAATCAATATAATGAAAATGGCTATACTGCCCAAAGTAATTTATAGAATCAACGCTATCCCCATCAAACTACCATTGACTTTCTTCACAGAACTGGAAAAAACCACCATGAACTTCATATGGAACCAAAAGAGAGCCCGTATAGCCAAGTCAACTCTAAGCAAAATTAACACAGTGGGGGGCATCACACTACCGGATTTCAAACTATACTACAAGGCTACAGTAATCAAAACAGCATGGTACTGGTACCAAAACAGAGATATAGACCAATGGAACAAAACAGAGGCATCGGAGGCAACACAACATATCTACAACCATACAATCTTTGATAAACCTGACAAAAACAAGCAATGGGGCAAGGATTCCCTGTTTAATAAATGGTGTTGGGAAAACTGGCTAGCCATGTGCAGAAAGCAGAAACTGGACCCCTTTCTGACACCTTACACTAAAATTAACTCCAGATGGATTAAAGACTTAAACATAAGACCTGGCACCATAAAAACCCTAGAAGAAAATCTAGGCAAAACCATTCAGGACATAGGAGTAGGCAAGGAATTCATGACCAAAACACCAAAAGCACTGGCAACAAAAGCCAAAATAGACAAATGGGACCTAATCACTCCACAGCTTCTGCACGGCAAAAGAAACAGTCACTAGAGTGAATCAGCAACCACCAGAATGGGAAAAAATTTTTTGCAGTTTACCCATCTGACAAAGGGCTGATATCCAGAATCTACAAAGAACTCGAACAGATTTACAGGAAAAAAACAAACAAACCCATTCAAAAATGGGGAAAGGATATGAACAGACACTTTACAAAAGAAGACATGCATGAGGCCAACAAACATATGAAAAAATGCTCATCGTCACTGGTCATTAGAGAGATGCAAATCAAAACCACATTGAGATACCATCTCACACCAGTTAGAATGGCGATCATTAAGAAATCTGGAGACAACAGATGCTGGAGAGGATGTGGAGAAAAAGGAACACTTTTACACTGTTGGTGGGAGTGTAAATTAGTTCAACCATTGTGGAAGACAGTGTGGCGATTCCTCAAGGCCTCAGAAATAGAAATTCCATTTGACCCTGCAATCCCATTACTGGGTATATATCCAAAGGACTATAACTCATTCTACTATAAGGACACATGCACACGAATGTTCATTGCAGCACTGTTTACAATAGCAAGGATTTTCATAGAAAAGATGGAAAGAAACCTGATAAGCACTCTCTAATACAGGCTTCTGATAACTTTAGATTCATATCATTTAAGTATTTCCAAATGGGTAAGTATTCCCATAACAGTAATAAAGAGATTTACTGTTTTATGAAACTGCTAACCCGATCAAGACAACAATTAATGGAATATCAAGGAAATGCTTTGCTAGAATTTCATGCTAAATCATCCAGTTCTGAAATTAAGATTATGCAATTTGAATAAACTGCATGGTCCAAGTCAAATTACCTAAGTTAACCTATTTAATAAACAGTGCTATGCTCCTGAATTGGAGGAACAAAATCGATATTTAAGAAGATATAAATCCAATGTTAACTATGACATATAATATATAAATATGTTTTATATAATGACTGTTCTAAATTTCTAAAATGGTTTATGACCAATGTTTGGTTTGTCAAAGCTATAATCCTGGGAAGACAATTAAAACTTCAGATATATCTCTGCTACCTGATGGCCCATTTGAACATTTATAAAGTAATTTCAATAAATTGCCATTTTCAATGTATATTTTCTAGTTGTGTAGAAGCTTTCCCATGTATGTAAGCAGGTGAATGCTCTAGCATTCCCCCAAGAGCTAAAAGGTTTTTAGAAAATGTGTTTTTCCCTCATAAGGCATTCCTAGAGAGACTTCCAGCAATAGAGGCACTTGTTTCACTGGACAAGTTGTAAAGCATGTAAATTAAATGTTTTAGATACAATAGCATTTGATAGAGTAACAGAATACAATCAGATCCACTTCCAGTGGAAAACATAAGTTGGTCCCTTATGAAATAGTCACTGGAAGGCTTATGACACTAATAATAGAACCTCATGTATCTTACACTCCTACACTCTGATATGACCAAATGCTGCAGTGCTTTAACGCATTATGTCAGAATGTATTTTCATCAAGTAAAACAAGCTTTTCATGATATACTGACTGAGGATAATCAAACCTTTCATGTTCTAGAACCCAGAAACTGGTCTTCTGGAAATGACATCAGGGAAAGACTGCTGTTGCCATGCATATTGCAAGGGTCCATCTTGCAATTCAGAAGGGGCCCTCCAGACTCTTAGAATGATACACCCATTGAAGACCTTAAGGTAAAGCTAACCAGGGAAGTTTCTTTCCGGAAGCAGATGGCATCCTAGATATAAATAACTTTCCAAGGATCATGGATCAATACTTTTTTGCCATCATAAGCCTCCTACCACTCTTAATTTTTTCCCTGCCTGTGCCTCTATGAACAATGGTATTGGAAAAGGGTTATTGTGTACACCTATGGGGCATAATTTTATTTGTGGAGGATTTTGCAGCCAATCTTATATATGAGCAACTTTATGCTTTGATAGATGGAAGATGAAGTCCCCAAGATAGGCTAGGAATTTTAATGGTATTTTTGTTGTTCCATACAGATAAACAGAACATCAGTCCACTCTTAACCTACATCGTAGGTTAAAGAAAACATCACCCGGGGGCTTTCACAGGTCTGGATGATCATCATTTGCTAGGGGTCTTTTTCTACGATTTGGAGTAAAGATAAACGAGGCAATGATTAGAGATCCCTCATAAAAGTCTCTATAAAATATTCTACTGCAAAAGCTATTATTGTACAACAGAATTCTTTAAGTTATTTAGCTAAAGTTGTACTAGACAATAGGAATGCTCTTGATTACCTACTGGCTGAACAAGGAAGAACCTGCAGCTACTAAAATGTTTTGTTGCACATGAATGAATGCAGTGGATATTTTAGAGAACAATTGCAGGAGATTAACAAATAAGTTGCTTGATTAAAATGAGTAGACTCTTCACATAACTTATCTTTTGATT